GAATCTTCCCAGACTGAAACCCCAGTTCCCAAGTCAGCCAGCCACAACATTGTGAATTCCTCAGGGAGGTGCCAATTTCATCCTCTTGTATCTCCCATGCTTCTCCGGCAAGCTAAGAAAATGTTTTTCTCCCTGAGCCTGGCCTTCATAATTCCATTCCATCACAGCACACAATGGAAGGTAGATTTTTATGTTTTAATTTCATTTTCATTTTGTTGACATTGCACTTCAAATTTCCAAATAACATTCTCCAGAATACATAGGTCCCATCGAAACATTATCTCACAGTGGTGCTGTGCCACTCTTTCACAGGCAAATACATAATTATCTATCATCTTATGAAGCTTTTTGATATAAACTGAAGAAACCATCCAAACTTTAATGGTCATTCATGAAAGTCAAATACATAATATGCTAGCTTCCTGGGAAGAAAACAACAATAGTCATTATTATGTTACTGTGATTTAGGGTAGCTGTATAACTAAATTGTAATTTATAAAGCTGTCCTTCTAACATAACAGTCACGATGTATTTATTTATTTAATTATGGGAAGAAAAGTTTTTCTACAACAGGGTCAACTGCACCACAAGTAAAGTGAAGCATCTGTCTTGGCAGTCAAATCTGGAAAGATCAGCAATGCCTTCCAATCTTTTTGAGCAATCACATTTGGAAGTTTCAGAAAGTATCACGGATGCCATCACAAAGCGAATGCAGTTAACTCATTTGAACCTACAATTCTTTCTGCAGTTCAGGATCACTTTTTCAAACTTTGTCTCCTTGTTCCACATTTCCTGCACTCAATATCTGCTCACCCAAATTCAGGGTGTTATCCATCTGTTTCAGTCCATGGAACTTGCTATTAAAGTTTTGCACTTATTAAAGCAGTTATGCCCAACACATACATTTTCCTGTTTGTTCAGTCAGTCAGAAGAAAAGTCCAGAGCATTTCTGATAGGGATTGGTCTTGGCAAGTAGTGACAAAACTGCAGGATTGCACTCTGGACTTTCCACACAGCCAGCTTGTCCAGGCAAAGGAGGAAAAATGTGAACTTTTGTCTTTGCTCTTACTGTATTGAAAATACTGGGATTTAAACTCCTAATGAATAATTTAATTTCTATTGATTATTTTTAATATTGTTATCTCCCACATTTTTACATGTCCATATATCTATGTAGGCATTGAGCACAAAACTGTATCATATCAATCAAGTTCCAAGCTGAAGTTTGGCAAGTGAATTAGGATTATAGCAGATGTTTCTTAACTAGTAAAGACTTTAAAATTGTTTAAAATACCATATTAGCAATATTAGTGGGGGATGGGGACCAGAGTTACTGTATATAATGAAAAAAGTCTCTTTTAAGCACTCATACT